CCTGGGCCATCTCTCCACACCCCACGCCCCCCCTCCAGGGTTCCCTGCTGCTGTCCCGAGTCCTCCATGCGCCTTCCCCTGTCCCCCAGGGCCACCCTCCCTCCCCCTCCCTGAGACAGCAGAAGCCTAGAAGGGGAGCCCACCCCCGCTCCCCCCACCTGCCACCTCCCTGGACCTGGCCTGGTCAGTGTCCCTGGCCTTGCAGGGAGTCATGTCCCAGCCACTCTGAGCCCTGACCTGGATCTTCAGGTCTCACTGCTCAAGGACGTGGCTGTCACCACCGTCCCCACCCCCTGTGCCATGGGTGGTGCCCTCCCCCAGGCTCATCCCCATGACCTTGTAAGTGTGGCCGGATGCCGGGCTCCAGACGCCAACAGTGATGGCAGCCCTGGAGCTCCTGGCCCTGCGTCCCCGTCCCCGCAGCCCCAGCCCCTCCCTCTGTCCCTCCCAGTGGCTCTCCTCTAAGTTACTGGTCCTTCCTCCATGAGTCCCCTTCCCAGGTCCTGCTGTCCCCACCCTGCCACCTGCAGTGAGCAGTACCTCCAGAGCTAGGGAAGTCCCAGCCCTCTCCCTGTCTGGCTCTGGGACGCACCTCTTCTGGATGACCACTGTGTCCTTGTCACTCCTCTGGCACCTGACTTAGTGCCGTGTCACCCAGACCCCTCATGTCCCCATGCACCCCGTGGGTCTCTTCCTCTACTTCCTTCCTTTATTTATTTTTTATCTCAAGGTAAAGGCTGGCCTGGGCCTCGCTGGCCTGGGCCTGGCGGGGTCTGGGCCTCCTCTCTTATGTCTGGAGCCAACCTTTAGCTCTGGCCTGGGCCGCGGGCAGCGCCTCTCAGGAGGAAATCTCTCGCCCAGGCCTCGCTAACGGCCGCCACCTGCCTCTCCACATTGTCACATGGAGTAGGTGTCTCTGGCTCCAGATGTCCCTAAGGCGCTCCTGCCCCTCTCCCTCGTCTCCCGGGCGGCCACCCTGAGCCAGGGGAGGCTTGGTCTGGTTTAGGATCTGCCCTCCCCCACTCCCGCGGGCACCTGACCCCTCCGCGATGCGGTCAAACTGTCCTTCACTCCGCACTTGATTCTGGCGTGCCCACCCCTCCTCCCCGTCCAGACCACTTCCTATCACGGGGACGGTCCAGGAGCCGCTGGGTGGCCCCAGCCTGCCCCATCCAGGTCCCCGTCACAGCCTGCTCCAAACAGCCACCCCTTCCTTCACTCTGTCCACATTTGCCCCGACCCACACAGAAACCAAACTCCCGACACGGCCAGGCCCAGGTCGGCTTCGCTCACGGCCGCGGCTCATGCGCAGGAGCTAGTGGGTGCAGGGAAAAGG